TATTAGTATGTGTGTATGTGTATCTGGGATAAATGATGGATATGTGTGTGTATATGTATATGTGTAGGGCAGCTAGATGGCTCAGCGGATGAAGCGCTGGACCTGGAGTCAGGAAGACCTGATTTCAAATCTGACCTCAGACATTTACTATCTGTGTGACCTTGGGCAAGTCACATATCTTCTGTTTGCCTTAATCCACTGGAGGAGGAAATGGCAAACCACTCCAGTATCTTTGTGAAGAAAGCCCCATGGACAGTATGGTCCACAGGGTCACAAAGAAGCAGACACAACTGAACAGCACAATAGATATATTTGTGTATATATACATTACATAACATAATGTACCATGAAGTAATACATTAAGAACAGTTGATACAAAGCAAGCATATTACTTGTAATATAATATATAAATATATGTAACAATATATAAGTATATAGTATGCTATAGAAATAGAATATATAAATATATGTAACATAACATAATGGGTACCATAAAGTGATACATTAAGAACACAGGCATCTAGGATCAAATAGAAAATGCTCTGGTTATTAAAGCCCTTCACGTCATGGCCCCTTCCTACTTTTCCAGTCTCCTTACACCTTATTACCTTCCACATTCTCTCTGATCCAATGATGCTTATTTCCTTCTGGTTCCCTGCAAATGAGATTCCTTCTTGTTACTCCAAGCATTAGTACTGACAGTCCTTCATGATTTAAATTTTCTACCTCCTCAACCCTTCCTAATGTCTTTCTTGGGCTTCCTTCAAGTCTCAATTAAAATCCTACCTTCTGCAAGAATCCTTTCCCAGTCCTCCTTAATCTTAGTACCTTCTCTCTGAGACGAGCCCCAATTTATCCTCCATGTATCTTGTTTGCACACAGTTGTTTGCATGTTGTCTCCTCCATTACACTGCAAGCTTGAGGGCAAGGACTATCTTTTGCCTTCCCTAGTGCCTAGCAAATTGTAGGTACTTCATAAACCTTGTTGACTGATTGACTGACCTAATATAGTGACTGGCAGATAATAAGCAGTTAATAAATGTTTATTGAATTGAATTAGATCAAAAGAGAGATTAATGAAATTGAAACAAAAAAAATCCCCATTGAACTAATAAAATTTGGAGCTGTGTTTTTGAATTGATTTAGAAGGGGCTTTAGGTTCTTTAGTCTGCCTGATGGATGGATGCCACCTACAACTTCCTTATAAAGCAATTATCCAGCCTTTGCTTAAATAGTTCTATTGCTGAAGAGTTCACTGCCTCATAAGGAGGTACAGTGAAGTGGAAAGATGCTGGACCAAGTTTCAGAAGCCCTACGTTCTAGATCCATCTCAACTAACTTGCTTTGGAATCTTGAGTATATCACTCTTTGACATATTGATTGATTGATTGATGTTTCCTTCATCTGAAAATGAGGTGATTAGATTAGATGATCTTCAAGCACACTTAAATTTTAAGATTTTGTGATCTCCTTTTGGGCAGTTCTTAATTCTTCATTTTGAGTAGAAATATTCCTCCCTTTAACATCCTAATTTTACCCTCAGAAGCCATGAGGAATGTCATATTTCTCTTCCTTTCAAATATTTGAAGACACATTCCTCTAAGTCTTCTCTTTAGTTCCTTCCACTGGCTTCTCACAGGATATAATTTGGAAGTCCTCCAATCATTTTGGTGATTCTCCTCTGAATTTGCTCCAAATTGTCACCATTCTCCATTCCCCTTCCAAAATTTGGTATTGAACCTGATATTTCAAATGTGGTTTGACCAGGGCAGAGTACAGCAAGGTTATCACTTCTCTAATTCTGTATAATTGCAAAAGGAGGAACAAGAGAGTTAGCAGGCAATTTGATGAGTTTCCTAATTAATGTGATGAGATTATAGGGCATGGCCCTTTATTTGGATTTAGCTAAGGAGCAACTTCCCTTGGAATAGGAGTATGCCCACTGGTGTCATATTCATGGGGAAATGGAGAGCTCAGAGTGAGTGGAGTGGCAGAGACTCAGGGTAATAGCCTCTAATTGATATATAAGAGCAATCTATGAGACCTCCCCTACCCCCAAAGCTCATGTCAGCTCTGTGAATCTTTATCTGAACCCCATCTCCCACTGAGTTGGGTCCTCAGAGCTTAGCTGGTTACATTTCCCCTTCAGGGTTCTAGTGTACACTGAGAGATCGAGTAATTCTCTAATACTGTCAGCTCAAGCCCCCACTGCCATGCCCCCCACCAAGATTATCAGTGGAGAATCAGTTTAGTCTATCAGACATTTAGCTTTTAGAAAGAAGTATTTACTAAAAGGGTACATTAAGAACAGTGAGTATAAAGCATCCTCCCAAAAGTCAGTGAGACACACTCTCCCTCCAGTACATATAGAGTACAGGGGAAAGGTTGCTAGAGTGGAGAGAGAGAATATGTAGCGAAGGATAACTCCCAGTTTCCAGTTCCCAGAAGTCCTTTTCTCCCATTCATGGGGTACTTCAGAAGTTTCCTTTAAGCATGGTGAATCTACAGCCATCTATTCTTTTCTCCTAACACAAAGACTACCATCAACTCATCTGAGGCTTCCATTTTGGATCCCAATGAGAAGAAGGGGAAGTCCAACATTCACTGGACCCTTGGAAGCTCGCAAAGTCCTCCTATGGCCAAAGAGGGGAGGGATAGAAAAAGACATGGTCAAATATGGAGCAGAAATATCTTCTCCCCAGGCAGTTCCTCCTCAGGGATGTGCTGGAAAGCTACACTTTCTCCAATTTCTGGGAAAGTTTTCTGTTCCAACTAACTGGATGCTTTTGTATGGACCCCAGAAGGCAAAAAGAAATACTCCATGATTCCAGAAGACTGATGATGAAGAATGCTATCCCACTTTATGAGAAAGAGAGATGATGGAATAATAGGCAGGAGAAATGTATTTTTTTATGTTGCCAATGTGGGGGTTTGTTTTGTTCCACTATGCTTATATGATACAAAGTTTCTGTTTTTCTTTTTTTTTTCTGGTGGGCAGGAGGGAGAATAAATAGATGCTTGATAATTGAAAAAAAGTATTATTATAGCTGGGTGGCAAGTTGGATAGAACACTGGGCCTGGAGTCAGGAGGACCTGATTTCAAATCCAGCCTCAGACACTTACTAGATATATGACCTTGGTCAAGTACCTTAACCTACCTCAGTTTCCTCAACTATAAAATGGGGGTAATAAGAACACCTACCTACAAGGGTTGTTGTGAAGATTAAATGAGGTATTTTTAAAGCACTTAGCACAGTGCCTGGTATACATAGTAGGCACTACATAAAAATGAGCTATTTTATATACATGTTTATATACATATACATGTTTATTTAAGCATGTGTTTATATAAATAATACATATAACATATAATACATATAAGCATATATATCAGGAGGTCCCTCCACAATACACATAAACACACACACATATCCACAGCCAATTGCAACAGACTTCTTGTCTGCAATCTTTGCACTTCAACAAATGGCTTTCAAAGACTTTTCACACTTAGTCTAAGAAGGTAAGGAGTTCTTAACCTGGGGCCTGGCAACTTGTTTTAGGTTGTTTTTTTTAAAGTGCTTTGATAACTGCATTTGGTTTCCTTTGTAATCCTTTGTATTTCTTTTTTTTCTTTTCTTTTTTTTTCTTTTTGGCAATTGGGGTTAAGTGACTTGCCCAGGGTCACACAGCTAGTAAGTGTCAAGTGTTTGGTCTGAGGCTGGATTTGAACTCAGGTCCTCCTGACTTCAGGGCCGGTGTTCTATCCACTGCGCCACCTAGCTGCCCCTATCCTTTGTATTTCTAACATTAGATTTGAACTCAGATCTTCCTGACCCCAGGCCCAGAGCCACCTAACAGTAATAATAATAATCACTTTTTTTTCAATTATCAAGCATCTACTTATTCTCCCTCCCATCTCTTCCCACCCACTGGGGGACAAAAAGAAATATAGAACCTTTATACCATATAAGCATAGTGAAGCAAAACAAATCCCCTCATTGGCAACATCTAAAAATACGTTTCTCCTTCCATCATCTCTCTGTCATGTAGCATTCTTAATCCTCAGTCCTCTGCAATCATGATAATATATATATGAGTCCATGATACATACACAGCAAACATTGAGACCTGCTTTATTGAGACCTAATCTAGTTAAAGTGTCAGGTAAAAATAGGGGTGGGGTCGTTTAGACAAGAAGTGTCAAATAAGGTATGAGCAGCCCCACAGGACACCTACACCTCTTCCCAGTACAGTCAAGCCAGCTTAAAATGTAATTGAGAAATATTTAACAAAATAAATAAAGACCAATAAAGCTATCAATAAAGATATCATTACATTAAATACTTAGATCAATATATAAGGCAGGGATCTTTCTGTTGGGATTAGTGGCCAAAGTTTCTAGTTGCATTTACCATTGCTTTAGATACTACCCTTCCATCTCTTTGGCCATTTACCCTCTCTGTAGCTGAGAAGACAGCACAGTAAACAGAAAATCCTTGAGCACAGGTTCCCTTTGCTCTTGGAAGCCAAATCATGTTTCTTCCTATGGCCTCACTTCCTAAAGGAGAGCCTCCACAGTCTGAGTAAGGGAATGGGGGCTGGGCAAATGTAGGGAGAGGGACATTACCCCTAATATGCTAGTTAATGGCACATTTAAAAGCACAAGGGAGGGAAAATGTAACAGTTAAGACAATATCCAGACGGTAAGGAGATTTGTTAGCTGTCTCCACTTCGGGGGAATTCTAAAGTTAGAATGAAATGAGAAGCATGATGGGATTTCTAAGGACATATGGGACCACTGAAGTACTGGGTGGGGTCCAGTTGGCCTTTTAGGAAAGTCTGCAGGGGCTGAATGCATTCCATCAATCAGTCAAAGCTTGTTCTTGGCTATTGGTTTTCTAATTTCTGCCTAGGCTTGTTTCCCCAGCTGTTAAGATACATAGATTCTCTTATGCAATTGTAAGTTCCTTAAGAAAAGGAATCTGTTCTTAAATCCCTAGTATCCCCTGTTTGATTGCCTGATGAATTGGACAGCTACATGATGCGGTAGATAGAGTTCTGGACCTGGAGTCAAGAAGACCTGCGTTCAGATGTGATCTCAGACACTTACTGGCTATGTGACCCTGGGCAGATCATTAAAGTGATTTTCCTAAAGCACAGGTTGATTGTGTCACTCACCTCCCCAACCCCCAAACACACACAATAAATTCCAGTGACTCCCTATCACCTCCAGGACCGAATACAAAATGTTCTGTTTGTCATCAAAGCCTTTCATAAGCTACCACCCTCCTACTTTTGTAGTTTTTCTACACCTTACTCTGCAGTATATATACTTTAATCCAGTGACACTGGCCTCCTGGCTGTTTCAACAACAAGACACTGCATCTTTCATCTCTGGGCATTCTCTCTAGCTGCCTCCAACGCTCTCCTCCGCTCTACCCCTTTAAACTAATTATGTTGATTGTCTGATTGTTAAAGGTGAATGAACTCCACCTGCTGACCTCCCAGGCTTCCTTTAAGTTCCAACCAAAATCCTGCCTTCGACAGGAAGCCTTCTCTATCTAATTCCTCTTAATTCTAGTTACTTCCCTCTTTTTTTTTTTTAGTGAGGCAATTGGGGTTAAGTGACTTGCCCAGGATCACACAGCTAGTAAGTATCAAGTGGCTGAGGCAGGATTTGAACTCAGGTGCTTCTTACTCCAGAGCCTGTGCTCTATTTCACTCTGCCATCTAGCTGCCCCTACTTCCCTCTTTTAATTATTTCCTATCTAACCTGCATATAGCTTGCTTCATATATATTTATTTATATGTTGTCTCTTCCATTAGGTGTTAAAATCCTTGAGAGCAGGAACTGCCTCTTTTTTGCATCCCCTGTGAAGGACAAACAGCAAACAACTTTGCACGATGCCTGTACACAGCAGGTGCTTAATAATTTTATTGATTGATTGACTTACTCTCTGTCTGCTTTGGTGTCCTCCGTCATAAAATGGGGATAATAATAACACCCACCTCCTAAAGGTATTGTGAGGGTCAAATGAGATCAATGAGATAATATTTGTAAAGCTTTTAGCACACACTGCCTGGTACATAGTAGGTGCTTAATAAACGCTTGTTCCCTTCCCCTTCTGCCTCATGGAATGGAAGAGTGGCTTAATCATAACAACCAACTAGTCACTCAGTCGGTCATATTCTTCCAGGCGGTTCTATGAAAAAATTACATCAACCTCAGTTAGAGGTTATCAGATTTGCCATCTCCGAGAGTAATGCTTTGTTAAACAGTTCCATTTTCCAGGGCTATTTAGGCCAGGCTGTGGGTGATAATGGCACTTTGCCTAATCCTCCATCCTATTCCAATGTGTTTACCTTCCCCCAGTGGCCCCACAGCATGAGCCATGGTTGCAACAGAATGTGATCATGGGCACTGAGCCTTGCATGGCACCGTCTGACATCCACAATTCACAGAATGGAAAAGACAAACTTCTTCTAGGGTAGGGGTTCATAACCTGAGGTCCTTGAACTTTAAATATATATATATATATATATATATATACATATATATATATATATATATGTTAATAACTATACTGCAGTATAATTGGTTTCCTCTGTAATCCCGTGCATTTTATTTCATGCACTTAAAAACGTTCTAAGAAGGAGTCCATAGGTTTCACCAGACATCCAAAAGGGTCTGCAATACAACAAAGTACTCCCCTTTAAAAGAGCAAGCTAGCCAGCTCACCAAGGATGTCCTAAAGGCAATTACTACTGTCAGTTCCAGATACGGAGGAAGAATCTAGCTCTTCACTTTTCCCCTTGTACCTCTTCCAGGTTATATGAGGGGATTTCTCTCTCTTCTCTGACCACCCTCAGCAATGGCATCTTTCAGTGGCATCAATGGGCATCAAAAGGCTCAGCTGAGTTGAATGGAATCAATTAAGCTTCAAAGACAAGCAGGTTGGCTTAGATTCTTAAAATCTAGCCACTGCTCAGATTCTTATAATCAAGCCAATAGCTCACTAACATTCAGACTCCTTGGGAGTCTTCCTGGTGTGACAGATGTTCTAATAAATCTTGTCTTTGGCTGGAAAAAAAAAAACAACTAGCGAGTCCCCAGAACTTAACAAAACCATCTATCCAGGAAAGATGCTATGCCCATGGAAAGAGACAGGAGAATAACATGAGGAGAAAAGAGATTTTGGGACCTTGCAGGATCAGAAGTGTGATTTGCCTTGGCTATATGTGTTCCCTATATATGTACGTCTTGCCTTTTAACTAATTGTATCAACTGTCTGATTGTGAACTGGTTGGGGCTCATGAGTTATAGTTTTAGGAGTTTAGACTCACAGAGTACTTTGGATAGTTGTCACCTAAGAGACCAACCTATGAACTCAAGATGGGGGTAGGAGGAGAGGGCTACTTACATATTACACGTGCATGACTATGGGCAAGTTATTTAACTTCTCTAAATCTCAGTTTCCTCATGGAAGGAAGGATGATAATGATAAAGTTTTACAGGATTTTATGAATAAACACCAGGTTTTTGTACTAAATAAGGAATTTTGTGAGGATCAAATGAGATAAAGGTATAAAGTAATTTATAAACCTTAAAATTATATAAATGCTGATTATTAGTTTTGGACAATATCTATTATTTCAAATAATAACTGTATTTTAAATGCTCAACAAATGTTCACACTCACAGATAAGTTGCACAGTAGATAAAGCACTGGGAGTCAGGAGGACCTGAGTTCAAATCTAGCCTCAGATGCTTACTAGCTGTGTGACCCTGGACAAGTCACTTAACTTCTGTTTGCCTCAGTTTCCTCAACTGTTAAATTGGGATAATAACAACACCTGCCTCACAAGGTTGTTGTGAGGATCAAACAAGATAATATTTGTAAACCACTTAGCACAGTGTCCAGCACATAGTAGGCATTTTATAAATGTTATTTACCTTCCCTTTCCCATCTTTCTCAGTCCTACCAAGCCTTTCTGTGACTAACAGCTCTATCAGCTATTTGCTACAAGGCTAATATAACTTGAGAGTCAAAAATTCTCCAGCTCTAGGTTCTGGGGTCATCAAAGGAGGGCCCAAGCCATCCTAGGCCAGAGTGATCTGCACCTCTCCTGCCAGAGAGCCAGGACAAGGAAAGATTATTCCAACCTGCTTAGCGTCAAGTGGAAAGATTGCTATGGAGATAGGAGCATGCATGGGCCTCGAAACCGCATGTGGCCCTCTAGATCCTCAAGTATGGCCCTTTGACTGACTGATTGGATTCAAAGGGCCACACTTGAGGACCTAGAGGTGCGGCATCAAGGCCACAGGTTCCCCACCCCTGTACCATTACGCACAGGAAACTGGCTGAAAAACAAACAAGTGGAGGTTATATATCATCCATCTTTCTTTCAGAGAGTTCTCGGCTTTTTAGTCACCAGAGGCAGTAGATAGAAGACTGAATATAGTCAGGAAAATTTTCTGATACTTATAAGTTACGTGACCATGACCAAGCTGCGTCACCTTTCTGAGCCTCAGTTTCCTCATCTGTAGGACGAAAGAGTTGAACTAAGTGGTTGGCCTTTCAGTTTTCTTCTAGCCTAGCTCCATGATACCATGATCGGTTCACTGATGGACACAACTTTCATGATATAGACAATGTGTCGTGTAATATGTCTAAAGGAGGCTTCAGGTAATTAGTCTGTTTCTCTACCATCATGGCCTATTCAGCGTTCAATATTATTGCACAAAAGCTCAAGCTCCTATTTTGTATATGGCCTCCTACAAAGTCCCATTTGGTACCTCATTGTTGGGGAAAGGTGACATTGAGTTTTCAAAGTCTATGCTATGCCAGCAAAGCACACATTACCAACAGGTTTTCCCATGCTGGCAAGCCTTCAGGTGTGGTCCCAGCAATAGACTGACTCTACTTTCCAACACCAGACCAGCTAAATACAGAGTGCTCACCATCAGTGGGGTGGCCATTTCTTTACCACTTGGTGAAGAATTCATTGGCCATGGCAATCATGAGACAAAGGAAAGCATAAAACGGCCCTCAGTCCTGAGCATCCATTCCTTCTTCCCTTCTCCACTGATGATGGCAGAGTGTCGGAAAAAGGGAAGGAAGGTCCTAAGAATCATAGGATTTTTAGGCCATCTTTATATTTGAATTGAGTGTTTATGGTCCTTTAAACACTGAGTTTGGCTCAGCAAAATCCACATTATCTTAATTTGTTGCTATTGACCTTGATGTAACAGTTCCAAGAATTATTGTCACCTCCATCATTAAAAAGCATTTTTTAAGAGCCCATATTTTCAGTCTGATATGATTAAGGTGCAATAGTAATAACTGATATTTACATAGTGTTTTAGATTTTACAAAAGGTTTCCTCAAGGCAACCTTAGACATGGGTAAAGCAAGTATTAGCTCTGTTTTACAGGTGAGAAAATTGAAACTTAGAGAGGTCAAGGGACTGGTCAGGTTGCTTTTAGATAAGGTATACAGGGTGTCCCAAAACTCTTAGTGCAGTTTTATTGCACTGTATTACATTGCCAAACAGCGTTTAGATTGAATTTGTCAAATGCTTTCACGTCCCAGGGACACTTAAAGACAACCTACAAGCAAATATTTTATTGGCCAGCAAGGAATTATTATGTCCCCTCTGTACTATAGTTTTTAATGACAAGGATAGGGCTAGAATTCAGAGATAGGGAGTCCGATTATGTGAAATAGAATAATCCTGTTAAATTCTACTCTGGCTGAGTTGAAAACTCACCTAGGTGGGTTTCTTCCCCTTTAGCAGAGTCATGTGGATAACATGAGCATTAATGCATCTATCTCCCTGCCAGGATCATGCCTGTGATCAATGGAGTATGCCCAACCCTTCTCTTGCCTCTGGCCTGACCGCCACATTTGGCCACACACTTAGGGCAGTTGCAAGGCAGGAGGGAGAACAGTGGATCTAAGATCGGAGGAGTCTGAAGTCTGCTTTTGAAGCTACCCTTTAACCAGCTAAATGATCTTGGGCCTTTCCTTTAACTGTTCTGAGTCACAGTTTCCTCATCTGTAAAATGGGGATCACATACGGCTACTAACTACCCCCTCCTAGA